TGTTATCATTTGCTTTCCTGCAAAATGTACACTCCCTGGTGTTCTAATGCCAGGAAAAAACCCTAGCAGGGTGTCTCCACGGAAGCGGCCTTTGGATCCTCAGACCCAGGGGAAATGAAGCGTTTTCCCTGTGGAAAATGGGATGTCCAGGGCTCTCTACCTAGGGAGGCAGGACTTTTCAAACTGCCCATCAACACCTCCACACACCAAACAAAGGGATAAAGTCCCAGAGGACACGTTACTATTTTATACTACAGGTAACCTCCCAAGTTCAGGGGTAGTTTTTCTTCTGCGTGTGGTTCATTTTATGCCACAGAAATGATCTGAATCTTACCAAAGAATCTGGCTGATGTATCTCTTCTCCAGACGGGGCCCCTCCTTGGAGGCCGATTCTGGGTGTTGTCCACTGTTGGGCCCTAGCCCTGGCCACGGGCGGGCGTTCAACCGGTGTGTTAGGGGGCTGTGTGAGGCCAGGCATGAGGTGAGTCTCTGTGCTATGGTGCAGCCTTGTGACGTCATAATGCAGACCCCTACCCCGGAGATGATCTTGGTCTATATGAAGGACAACCTCTTTTTTTAAGCATTTTTAAAAGATTTTATTTATTTATTTTTAGAGAGGGAAGGGAGGGGGAGAGAGAGAGAGAGAGAAACATCAATGTGCAGTTGCTGAGGGTCATGGCCTGCAACCCAGGCATGTGCCCTGACTGGGAACCGAACCTGCGACACTTTGGTTCGCAGCCCGAGCTCAATCCACTGAGCTATGCCAGCCAGGGCTCTGAAGGACAACCTCTTAGTTGGATTTAATTTGAAATTCCTAGCAGTGTTTACATGCTGATGAGAACTATGATTTTAATGGAGCCAAGACTTTAAAACAAAAACATATGAACATGTCCATGGGTAGAGACGGCCAGTGTCAAATTGGGGCATCAGTCTGCACTATAGCTGAAGGCCAGCCATACTGGGGGCTGAAGTGCATGGGTAGGACGTCTGCTTTGGCCTTAGGCTGTGCCCTGGGGCAGCTGACTAAGCAGACTTTAGTCCATCTAAGGTGACCCCTGCCCACCGGCCTAAGGAGATCATTGGGAAGACCAGAGCAGCACTGGCTGAGGAAGGGCTGTCCAAACCGCAAGGGGCTGGGCACGCAGAAGGGGCCATGGCGGCGTCCCAGTGGTGCCTCCCCGAGGGGAGCCCCTGCCACCACACCCCTCTCCTGGAAGGGGCTGGGAGTGTGCACAGGGGGTTACCGCTGTTGTTCTCATTCTTGAAGGGGGGCTAGGATGTGAGGCGAGAACCTTCCGTCCAGTTTATCTGCCTGCGGCCTGCAGTCCCCACGCGCAGAGGCCGGAAGCGCACCGGGCCAGCCGCTCCAGAAGCCCCTCCACGAGGGCGGCTGTGGGAGCTGGTGATCGCTGAGGCTCAGACCAGGGATTCTCTGTGATCCTCTTCCCGTCCTTTGGCGGGACTCAAGTTTTAAACAAAGACAAGGACTCTAGCAGAACTGGGCCACTTCAAGAAAATCTGTTTCTGGAAACTCCCGGGAAACCGAGCCTTCAGACAGAGCACTTTTTCATGCCCAAAATAAAAGTGCAGAAGAAAAATAGTGCTGCCCATTCATGCAAGAGGGCCAATAACCTGACCCCCTCGGGAGTCACACGCCCTCCGGCCCAGGAGGCTGTGCCCGCTGGGGGAAGAGGCACAGCGCAGCGTGGTGCATGCATGTGCTTTGCCCGGGGCCAACAGGAGAACGTGTTTTTGATCTCCTTCTCAGTTTACTTGGACGCAGGACATGGGGGTGACTGTCTGGTACTGGGTCCCTGCTTTCTGAGTCCAGGCCTCCAGAGTCACGCATGCATGCATTCACTCGGTGTCGAGACCTCCGTCTCTGCCAGGCGCCGTGCCGAGCGCACAGACAGAGGAGTTAATGACGCCCAGCCCTGTTCTCAAGGAGTTCACAGTTTACCGGGGGGGGGGGGAGCCATCAAGCAAACATGATTATGATGCAATGGGGAAACGGGATCTAGTGGGCCACGGCTACTAGGAGGTTGTGCCGAATGTTATGAATTGCACAAGGCGAGCAGCAGCCGGGCCAAGGGCTGTTGCAGAAGGTTCTCTCGAGCTGGACCCCACAAAGCAGGAGTAAGCCAAGGAAAGGTGAAGTGGAGGGGGCAGCGGAGGGGGAGGGCATTTGGAAGGGAACAGACTGAGCAGAGGCCTGGAGGTGACAGGGTGTGGGCCAGGACTGGCAGGAGTTCGTCACCGCTGGATCAAAGGGTGTAAAGCCAGGCCTGATGGGCCAGGAGGTGGCTCAGAGACCCATCAGGGAGGGCCAGAGCTTGGAGGCCACAGCCTCCTCCTCGGCGCTGGCTCGGGCTATTCCACTTTAGAGCGGCCCTAAAATTCCCTCTGCACCTTGATGCGAAAAAAGCAGTTCTTTAGGGCCCTACAGGCAGGTGATCTAACGTCTGGTACACAGCTGGTGCTCAATCAGGGGTGATCGCAGCTCCTCCCCTGCAGGGGGGTGTTACTGCCTGAGCGATGTTCCCCACAGATGCAGCGATCCACTCACAGGAATCCTCAGACTCACGGACAGACTGACAGCTGTCGGAGAGGAGGGTCATGGGGGGCTGGGCGAAAAAGGGGAAGGGATTAAGCAAAGGAAAAAAACCTCGCAGACACAGACAACAGCGTGGTGCTGACCAGAGGGAGGGGGTAGGGGAGGCAGAAGAGGGTAAAAGGGGATAAATGGGGATGGAAGGAGACCTGACTTTGGGTGGTGAACACACAGTACAATATAACGACGACGTGTTATAGAGCTGTACTCCTGAAACCTATGTGCTTTTATTCACCAATGTCACTCCCATAAAGTCAATAAAAATCATATTGAAAAAGGAATAGCCATCATTGCATCGTAAAAAATGGCCTGTCCCTGCAGCTGACATCCACACCCCGTTGTTCAGAGCCTTCGGTCCCCTGAGACCTGACTCTTGATGGAGAGGAAGGCTCACTCTTCTGGCTCTTGGCTTTGGAAAGAAAGTGACTTTCGGCCCGACTTTACCCTGAGGCAATCGTGGAAAACAAAGGGTAAAAACGGGCATGCCTAGCAGAAGGGGCAGAAGTCAGGGGAGCGCATGCCCCGGCTCCCATGAGCCCCACAGGCACCTTGGGGCCTCCACTGGGCTTCCTGACCTGCAGGGGAGGGCATCTTTTGGAGAGAGCCGAGAGAGGTTGAAAAAGAACCTACTGGTTTTCTGTCTGATGGTAAAAATACGTGCTCGTGGTGGGAAATGTGGCAAATGGAGAACAAAGAGAGAGGAAAAAAAAAGCAATCGAGAGCTTTGTACCTTGGCCTCATATTCCCGTTCACCCTTTGGATAAACGTCCCATCACAGTGCCAGCTCACAAGGCGGTGACGGCCTGTCCTCGGCTGTGCCCCTGGCACCTGGGAGAGGGCAGCACTCAGGGAGCCACCCAGGTCCTGATCCCGCTGACACCTGTCCGAGAGGCTGTCCCAGAGGTGGTGGCTCCCTTCGCCCCTCTGCTCGGCTCTAAGCCTCCAAGGCCAGGCCTCAGAGACCTCTCCTGACCTCTGGCCCCACCCCAGTTACTTATCCCAAGTTGCTCTTCTCCCTGGAACTTACTTGCATTTGCAATTACCTTGTTTTCCTGTGTGCTGGCTGTCTATCCCCTCTCTCCCCGCCAGTCCTCTACCCGAGGGTGGATCTGCTCACCTCAAGCCCTGCAGCAAGGGCCCAGGGAGGCTCACTAGTGGGGCCTTGGTAGTTATCCGTTAGGGAGGGAGGAGCCCATCCATCCAGGTTGCCAGTATTTCAGTAGAATGAGCACAGCGATGAGGAACACAGCCCACGTTTAAATGCTCGGTGAGCTCGGGCCATTTTCTTTTCCTCCTGGAAGATCCCATACATAGGCCGTTGTGCGCTCGTGAGTGTGCGTGTGCATGCGCCTGCGCATGCTCCCGGAAGGGTCACAGCCCTGAGCTGAAGGCTGGACCCTCGTGGCCCCCACTCATTCCTCAGCCTTGGGCAAATTCCACAACTCCAGAGTCACCTTTGCCCTGTTTGTAAAACCAGTAAGTACCTTGCCGTAGGTGTGTGGTGAGCCCCAAACGAGATAAGATCCCAGAACTCTCCAGAGCGAAAAGACACACACCCGGAGAGGCCCACACTCATTTTCAGTAAAGCTCCAGACAGGGTCGCTTGGAGACTCCATGGCCCAGGACTTGATGGGGCACCCTAGCTCCCCGGGAGTCCGCTGCCTCTCTCTCCTCCCCAGAACCTGGGGCCATGTCTAGATTGGATCCCAGCAGAAAGGTTCCCAATATCCGAACTCAGGAAAGAGGTCCTTTTTGCCACCCCACCCCCGAATTTGGAGATAGGGGGGAGACAGAGGAGAGCCTCGTCCAACTCCATTTCCACACTCATTCGCCCCCTACCCAGGCCCTAGCCTCTCCCAGAGGTGCCCTCAGCAGCGGATGGGCACCGAGCGCTCAGCCCCTCCCCTCCACAGGGGGGCTGCCCCTCGGCATTGCGTGGGGACAGGGGACAGCGTGTGCGTGTGTGTAGGAGGGGGTCACCCCCGGGGCTGGGCCCGAGGGACTGTGCGGGGGATGGGGTGGGCCCTTCTGGACGAGGTCCTGGGACTCACAGGCTCACCCCGTGGTTGCGTCATCCGGCCCTCCGCCCCCTGAGACATCACAATCTGGGGGTTGGGACCCCACGCTCATCACCGCCTGTCTGCAACCAAACAGTCCACCTAACAAACACCGGGTGGGGGGCGGGGGGAGGAAAATCGGCCTGAGCCCAGCCTCCCTTTCCAGCCCTCCCCTTGCCCCCCGGGGCCTCCGCCCCCAGATGGGGGAGTGAGCGCGAGACCAGGGCGCCCGCACCGCCGCCCCGCGCCAGCCAGCTGCCTGCCCCCGGTGGGGGCGGCCCGAACACGCCCGCCCCGCCTGCGCCCCGCCCGCGCCCGCCGCTCCTCCCGCTCCGCGGCGCCCTCGCCGGGTGCGTGCCGCTCGCGCGCCCGCCCGCCAGGCTCCCAGCGCCCGCCGCCCGCGCCCGGCTCGGCGCCCCGGCCCTTCCGCCCGCGCTTCATGGCTGCTCAGGAATGGGACTGGTTCCAGCGCGAGGAGCTCATCGGACAGATCAGCGACATCCGAGTCCAGAACCTACAAGGTAACGCTCCCCAACCTCCCGGGACAGGAGCGCCGCCGGTTTGGGGTCGCTCCGTAGCCGCTCCCACACTGGGCACCTCTGACCCGCGCCGCCCTCTGCCCGGCCCGACCCGGCCCGACCTCGTTTCGGTCACTTTACTGGGAGGAGGAGGGGAGGATTGAGGCACCCGCCCCCAAACCCCAGAATCGCCGGCCCCGGGGGTGGGGCGGCACACGTGTGTGTGTTTGTGGGGCCAGGGTCCCATTTTTCTCCCTGCAGGACGTCACGGCTGTCCTCCAGCCATGGCTGCGAGTTTGGAGAAGTTTGTATGTGGGCTCTCGGGGTGGCCCAGGTCACGGAGGGGAGAATAAAGTCCCACTCCATGTGCGTGTGTGTGGGTTCGCACACTCCCTAAATACCTCTGAGGCTGGGGGGATTGAATGGGGCGGCGCCTCTGCGGGCAGGCTGGGCGAGGGGGCCGGGGGCTCCGGGGGGGCGGGGGGGGGGCTGGCTCTGTGAGTTTAGAAGGGCACCCAGCCCAGGGCGGCCACTTTCTTCAAGGAGCTGCCCCTCCCCTAGCCCCGGGCTAGACTTAGGGGAGGGCAAGAGGCCCCGCCCACTGGGACGCGGGGCGCGGAGAGCAGCGTCTACCTTGAGACCAGGTGAAAGGGAAACTCGGGTGGCCAGCGCCTCTGACAAGGGCTAGGGGTGGCTCCAGCCACAGATGACGTGTATACATCTTTCAAAGCAGTTTGTTCATTGTGGAAACTTAGCACAAACGTATTTCAAAGGAAAAAGTCACCCCCAATCACCTCCTAGCCCACGCACCCACCAAAACAAAGCTCCTTTCCCTGGAGGTGTGCTTCTGACCTCTCTCTTTCCTATGTGAGCTTTGCCAAACTGGACAGAATTCCACTTCCCGTCCCTCTTCTTGCCCATGGACCTGGGCAGGGGAAGTTTCTGTAGCAGTTTTCCCTACAGACTTGGGTTTCTAGAAATTCCCGTATTGGGGGTGGCCCAGAGAAGTTGGGAGGCCTGGACACAGAGGTGTGGGGCTGTCGTTGCCCCTAGCGCCCACCACTAGCAGCAGTTGACACGACTTCAGTGCTCTGGGGGCAGGGAGCCTCAGCAGCCAGGGAACAGGCTGGGGGTGGCCGAGCCGTCAAGTTTAAACATTACACCCGGTGGAATGTTCCCTGGGAGCCCACGTGGACTTGCTCCGCCCCTAGGCTGGGCAAGGACAGTGGGGCAGAGGTGACCTGGAGAGGAGAGGGAGCTGACCGCACTGGCCAGTAGGAGCTGAGTTTGCTCCCTGCTCCCCGGATCCCTTCTGGCTGTGATCTGTGTAAAAGGAGGAGGATCAGGCTGCAGATGTTGAGAATGATTCCTTTTGATGATGTCTCATGCCTGGATCCTGTGGCCTGAGAACTGACATCCTATTTGAGGGGTTGGGGTTAGTATCTTTTGCTGAGATGGCATCTGGTTTGGGCTGTCAGGGGTGTGTGTGTGTGTGTGTGTGTGTGTGTGTGTTAGGCAATTAGTGGGTGTTAATAAACACACTCTGACCAATTCTTGGTGCCGCTTCCTGCATGCCCCTCAGATCAGCTCCCACCGTAAAGGAGATCAGTTTTTGTGAAGGGGTGTTCAGCACTGTGAGCAGTTAATTACACCCAGAGCTGTGAGAGAAGGCTCCGCCCAGTGGGGATCATTTGAGATGGGTTCTGAAGGTCGGGTAGGAGTTCGCTGAGTGGGCTCCTGGCTCTCAGCTCCCAGTGAACTGTCTTCATTTTTAGGCAATGCCAGTTGCGATTTCAGCATCAAAAGCTTCGCCATTAAAAAGAAAGTCAATGTATGTATCTACATTATATTGGGTTGGCCAAAAAGTTTGTTTAGTTTTTTTCCATCATGGCTCTACTCTAGTAGCACCTAGCTGTCTTTAACTTCATTTGATACAATTTTTAGATTGTATTGTGACAGCTGCCTTATCAGCGTGCGTTGAAAAAAACTTATCAAGATTGGTGAATTTTTGTGTAGCTATTTTACTATTGAAGATGGTAAAAATACAGAACATTTTTGGCAGATTATGCCGTGTTATTTCAAGGAAGGTAAAAATGCAACCAACATGCAAAAGAAGATTTGTGCAGTGTATGGAGAAGGTGCTGTGACGGATCGAATGTGTCAAAAGTGGTTTGCGAAGCTTCGTGCTGGAGACTCCTCCACGGCCGGGAAGACCAGTTGACGTGGAGAGTGATCAAGTCGAGGCCGTTACTGGGAACGGCCAGTGTTCTACGACACGGGAGACAGCTGACGCACTCCAAACCTCCGAATCAATAAAGTCATTGGTGAAAATGAAAAAAAAAATGGGTCTTTTATTTCACGGGGAAAAAAGGACTTTTTGGCCAACCCAGTTTATATTATATATGACTACATATGTGGTTATAAAACATGTTCACCCTAAGGATGAGCCCAGTACATTGTAACATACGGATACACCATTACTGGACCAAGATGCAGAAGATCCCCGTAACCCTGGAGGGGTGCCTCGTCTCCCTCCGGGTCAGTAGCGCCCCCAACGCACACCCAATTCGGACCTCTGCTGCTGCCGTTTCGCCTCCAGAACTCCCTGTACCACTGAGTTGAGCGGCGTGCGCTCTTTCAACTGGCCTTTCTTGCTCTGCGTCACAAAGAAGCAATTGGCTCGTGCCCTTGCATGTATCATCAGTACTTTTGAGGGGGATTAGAAAACTGCTTTACTGAGGTTTAATTTACATATCATAAAATTCACCTGTTTTCAGTTTACAATTCAACAATTTTTAGTAAATCTACAGAGTTGTGCCAACATCACAACAATCCAGCTCAGCAGCGTGTTTATTACCTGCGAAGGACCCCAGTGCCTTTGCATGTGCGTCCGCCTCAGCGCCCAGTCCCGGGCCAGCCCTGGGTGTGGTTCCGTGTCATCGCTGAGGACCCGTCCACCACAGATGCACGCACCGCAGTTCACCTGGCCGTCAGGGAGAGGCCTTTGGGCTGCGAGGGGAAAGCGGCTGTCGGTCCTGCTGGCCCTGGCTTTGCTGCCCTGCCCGGCGTCGCTGAGAAGAGGCCGGAGGAGGAGGCGAGGGCGGGAATGTGCCTTCTGTCTATCTCCGCTTTCCCCTTGGCTTCCCTTTCTCGTGACTGGACGCTCAACAGACGTTTTCTCCTTGTCTCTGTGATACTCAGGAAGCCCCAACCAAAGGGCCAAGTCCAGAAGGCACCCACGCCATGCTTAGATGAGAGCATCTGCCCCACCGGCGGGTGGGTGTCAGCGGGCCCTGGACGGTCTGGACCCTCAGCTCTGAGGGCTGTGCGGGCCGTGGGCGGGGCCTCATTCCTCCCAACTCTGTGCAGTGGTAGTCCCGGGGGAGGCGGGAGGAGTCTAGGCAGAAGGGCTGTTTCTCCAGCCGTGAGCTTACTCCAGCACAGGTAGTCACGGTTGTCGTGGTGGTGGGCAGATGGGTACAGAGGGGTTTCAGGATTCTGCAACTGTGGGGACCGAGGAGGAGACCGCCCAGCCTTCGTGGGCAGGCGGTGGCTGCTGTCGTCATCAGTGGGTCCTGGCTCTCCCCAGAGAGCCTGACTCTCATGGGCCTGGGACTCTGCATTTCAGGGAAAATCGGGCCCGTGACGCACCTATATCTTTCCACCTCTCTCTCTATGTATATGTTTGCACTAACGGGGAGGTGTGTTGCCCTCTGCTCAGTTGCGCGTCTGAACCTTTTTCTGTGGTCCTGAACCATGGGGTCCTGGAATCCCTGGGACTGCAACTGAGGTCATCCCCAGGGAGTGCTGGAAGGAAGACCTCGTGGCCTGCCTTTGAGGCCAGAGGAGCCGGGCAGGAAGCCTGGCCTCTCCCAGGGGGCTTGCCACACCCCTGCTGCACTCACACGCGGGCGGGTGGAGTCCCTCTTGCTGGGTTCACTCCGGTGGTTCATAAAATTGTTTGTAAACGAATGACTCTGGTGGACAGCACTGGGTGTCCATCTGGGCGAAGGCTGCCGGTGCCACCCTCACAGTGTCCCTTGCAAGGAAACGGGGGTGGCACAAGCTGTTGACCTCTTCAGAGAGGTGAAAGCGGAATCACAGGATGTGGGCTGCCCCCCCCCCGGTGGCCCCCGCCTCCTCGGAGCCACGTGGGATGGAACTGAGGACAGAGGCGGTCGGTGAACCGATCTCTGCTGCGGGCGACAGGGGCTCCGGCGCCTGGCTGATGACAGGGCCACTTTGGCCGTCTCCTCTCCCTCTTCGACTTGGCGTAGCGTCCAGCTGGGGCCACTTGACCGCCGGTCAAAGGGTAGTGTCAGGCCGGGGCTTGGAAGTTGCTCCCGTGTCTGTAAAAAGCCCCTGCCACCCCCCAAATTCTCAGCCCTTCTCTGCTCACGTTCGCAAACGTGTGCTAAGCATGCAGCCTCCTGCTGACACCGGGGGATGCGAAGTGGGTTCTTTTTCCTGCCTTTAAGGAACGTGAAGCCGTCGCGGGCACCCAGCCAGACTGGGGCTCGGAATGCCGCTTCTGGCAGCGCAGACGGCAGTTCAGCTCGGGCCGTCTCCTGTTGCCCTGGTATCTGTCGTCTGTGATGCCGTGAACCTTGACCTCGTTGTGCGGGAGCACCCGGATCTGGAGGGGGATGGAGGTAGGTGGGGCTAGGCAGATGCACAGCTGTTCCCACCGCTGCTCCGGGGGAGAGCCGTGAGGGCGTGTTGACCGCCCCCAGCCAAGCCATGCTGGCTGGTGCCCCCCCCCCGCCCCCGAGTGGCCTCCCCACCCCTGCCACGGTGTCTCCTTGAGAATCTGTCAGGAAGCGGTACTGCCCGGGGTTGGCAGACAGGAACTGTGTTTTGGGACACTTGGAATTGTCTGCCAAGCAGAGATGGTGACAGTGAACCTGTCTGAGAGCAGTGTGGGTGCCCAGGGCTAACTGCGTCTCTCTTAATGCCACCCACAAGGCTTTGAGGTTGGTGCTTGTAGCTGAAGTGGAGAGGGG